TTTTATGAATCGACTTTCCGCTGCAAAATATACCGAAAATGTATATAACTACTGGTAAGCAAAGTTTCCTTCAATGTGTGGTTTTTTAAGCGGTCAGATAGAAAAAGGTGGAATTTAAAAAAGCAGTGATGCAATGATGCAGGAAAGTAGTGCTCAAGCTCTCATTTGAATAGTAACAAACTACGGTCCCGTCCAAGTGCTTCAAACTGCCATATGATAATCATGCAAAATGCTTCACATTGTATGCGTTATTTCTTCGTGAAACTGTTTTTAATACTTTAAATAAATGTTTACTTGTTAACACGGATCAGTTATTGACTGTTAACAATTCTGTTCAACAAGGCCCCGAATTAAATCGCAAATTGTCTTTCCTACAGCGATCTACAAATTTTCTTTCCACTGTGGTCATTAGTATTTAATTCCTTCTAGTGATATCTTTGTTGGCAGGTCCGAGAATAATATCTTTGTTGGCAGGTCCGAGAATCGAATCAGGCACCCGCGAAGTACTGAACCTCAATAGCGCTCTCTCGCTAACCTTATCGTTATCTCCAATAGTCGACTTGACTTGCACGTGGTGAAACTGATAGGAGACCGGAAAATCCTGGTTAGAAACGAGAATAGTGAATGTCGGCTACTAACTAAGCAGTCCTCTTCCTTTCGAGAAGCGTGGGCTGAGCCCCAGGCCTTCCCGTAACTCCCCCTAGCTCACACTTCTCCCGCTATTCTAAAGGGAAAAGACTGCACTACTGACAACAGTGAATCACGCAACCTAAATGAATGTATTCTACCGAGATTTATAAAACAAAAGTCTAAGAGATCATGCAACATGTAAAGCAAAAACAGCAATCATGCAAAGCTGACCTGACCAACTTCAAACATAAGTAAACAAGAGAGTATAATATTGTGTTAACTTGTCAGAGGTCACGCTTGCACCGGAAAAATAAACTTCAGGTCTTTTGAGGATGTCTAACCAAGGTATTCACACAACTCCTAGGACATGCATTGGCACGTTACGTCATTCGAAAAGGTCATCATCGGCCACAAACTCGTCTAAAGCTTCCAAGATGTCGGGTGTCACCATCTGCCAGTTAACCATAGAAAATCCAGGTAAAAGAGCAACAAAGACTGTGATATTGTCCATGGACTCAGCGTACAGCGCGCTTTTCACAAGCCTCTCTGCCAAACTCTTTGCTAGAAGACGCGCTTTTTCCGGTCTTGTTAATCCTTTTCCTTCGCCGCCTTTGAGCCAATTAAACATTTTAAAATCTGGTAAAGAAAATCGGTGATGACGTGTATATATGGAAGTGACGTCATCGATAGGTGGGGGATCCGTTATGTGACTTGTATGAATGGGTTCTCCTTTAGTGTCTCTGTCGTGTCTCTGTTTGCTTCAACGCAAGGGTTAATTTGGTAGTGTGCTATCAAGTTACTCAAGTTGTCTTCGCTTTTACTGTGTGCCAATCCTCCAGCAACGTCGTCCGGAGGGAAAACAGATGGCGAGGATGTATCATTAAATTGGTCGCCGGCCATCTTTAAAAAAAGCTTTGTTCTGTACTCTGCGTTAGACAGATGTTCATTGTGTATTTCAGACACAGTTCTATCAACTATTTCTCCTTCAACAATCTTTTGTTTCGCCTCCCTTCTTATTTGTCCAATGAAGCCGCTGACAAGATGAATAGTTTCTTCGTAGGAAAACATCTTCCAAAATCCACCAGAAGCTAAAACTAGAGGCTGGTCTGTAGGATCTAAGGATATAGTCCTGACGTCAGGCTCATTAATAATGCATCTCTTTAAGGCCATATCTCCGATGTTCCCAATGCCCCTTGTGACACTGAGGGCCCGCATTTTTCCGTCTTCACTATGACCCCGCTTGAATTCTTAACACGCTCGCGTTCCTTCTTGTTGTACAAATCGTGCTTGTTTGTGAGTCCTTTAACAACATCGTTGTCTCTTACCAAAATGGCGCCCACATTCCCTGCATTTGCGATAAAACACATATCATCTGTCAAAACGCATGTGACTACTGAGCAACCACTCCATCTACTTTGCGACCGCTCCTCTTCTGACATAAGTAGCAACTTCTCAGTTTTTGCAAAAGAAGAACGGAAGGCTGAGGAGACCTCTTTTTTCGACGGCCTCGTGTTTGTCTTTGTTACAATAGAGTCAAGCTCCTCTTTCAAATACACGTGAAGATGTCGACTGCACTTAAGTGCAGTGGTTTTACCGCTGTACCCGTCATAGATCGCAAAAAAAGCGCTATTTATGTTGTTCAAAAAGTTGTCTTTATAGATGTGCACATCCTCCATGTTTTTCCACCTTTTATTTGCTTCCTCGCAAACTCCAGCTACAATTGAGCAAGACAAATCGAAGTTCTCGCCTGTTACTTTTATTTCTGCAAATTCAAAAAACAATGGCCAATACTTCAGTTGCACTCGAGGCATTGAAGTGCAAATGAACTCAAACGAGAATATCGAGAGCAAACAGGCAAATGTCTATACAACTATCTTATGTCAAGTTCTTGCCAATCTTTTGCATCAATCAAACCTAAGAAGGTGCTAATGAAAGAGTTGACAGTGTTTGGTTTTGTTTTGATTCCCTCGTAAACACGTAATCTGTCATTAACACGTTTAACCTCGGCATGGTAGAATATTCTAAATTTTTTACCTAAATAAAATCATGCTAAGGTCAAAAGAGCAGTTTGTTTTATCATCTTAATTACGCAAACATAATGTCATGGTTTAAACTAAATTCAGTGTATTGTACGTATAAACTAAGAAATCTGAAGATTTAACTTAAAATTTAGAATCAATTTACTTTACAAATTAGTTAACAATTTTAGGAAAACTTAATATTTAAGACGCTTGTCTGCATTTTCTTTGTTTCACTTTTTCTCACGGCGTGTAATAATCATCACGAGATAAATTACGACTCCCGAAGTTTACGGATGATAAAACATATGATTTGAGATGTTGGTTTCCTTGCATAGATATTTTATGTCAAAGTATCTCTAGCTGTTACTGAATTGCACCAACCTTCAATTACCCTTTCACTAAGATATCGCAAATCTGTGGTTCCTTGAAGTTCTGTTCTTAGGAACTCAAACGCCGTGTTTAATTTATGCAAATGCTTGTCACCAAAGGGATCTTGTCGTCTTTTTGAACTGGCATCTTGTTGCTGTTTTATCAATAGTTTTCTTCGCCTGACCAAAGCGCTGATGTTTTTGGCCTCTGATCCTGTGCGTACTTGAGTGTTTGTAACGCGCAGTGCAAATTCCGGTGACATGGCAGGCGACATATGTTAACAACATCATGACACCTTGTACAAGGGATTAAAATATTCGGTAACAGAACTGCCTCTTCCGACACCTCGCTGGGCGATTCTGTGAAGAAATCAAACGATTCAACATCGCTGTGGTCCTGATCTTCCTTTTCGTCGTCATCTCCACCGGCGGCTTCCCGTTCTTCCCCCTCGGGGTCCTCGCCGATTTCTTCCATTTCATCATCACTGTTTGCCGTTCTTGTTGAAATTAAATTCACAGTTACCGCGGCGTGTTCTTGCATCTCTGTGTT